CACCAATGAATCTCTTCAACATTATTAGAATTCGCTCAAATGACCACACTCATGCAGACTAAGGGATAGAGGTGGTTCTCGGGCTCCAGCACTTTGTCTCTTCCATTTATATCCATTTGGAACTTTGACTACACAACAATCATATTCCTAGACAAAGAAATGGAAGAGCAAAAAGAAGCTAACACTCTGTTCTCAAAAGTTCTTTACATCTCATCTCTTGGTAATGCAAAGTACTTCACCTTGTCTAAAATGCAGTAAGACTCTATCAAGAAGTGGTCTCGAAATTCTACAGGTCAAGCACACTACCATATATATACCTCTCGCACTGCATGATAGGCATCCTCATATAGCCGTAATGCTTCAACCCAATCTCTGCAAAATTCTGCATATACAGCAGCCTGTCACAATGTTAAGAAGAGCATAATCATTACATAAGCAAAATTCCAGGGAATAATTGAGAAAACATAATAAAGGGCACAATAACTAGTTTCTAGGTTAGTATTTAAATGATAAAATATGAAATAATACTATAATGTTGTATTATACCAACAAGGTTAGGTAATGTGGAAACCATACTACAAGGACAACACATATTAAACTTCAAAGGGAACCCTTACTTTGAAACAGCATCGAATATTCAGCTCCGCAGAATGGAAATTTTTCCTTTCGAGACGTGCTTTAATTCTTCTTCCTTCCTCCTTGTAATACGAATTAGCTAATTCTGAAAATGTGTTTCCCAACCTGCAATAGGTATCTCAAATAACAAAGACCACCGGGTTCTGTAACTCAAATTTAGTTATAGTATGAGAAATAACTGCATGCCTGATCAGGGACTGTTGAAGTTCTGATTCGCTTGGAACAAAGATGATAAGATACTTGGAGTCAAGTTCTGCACGCTTTCTGAGAGCAATCATACGGTCTTCACTTAAATCATCTGTTTAAAAGAAGCATCACATGTGGGTCAAATCCTCAAATTGTGAGAAGATGGGAGCAGAATAGGAAAAAGTTGACATAGGAAAGACCTCCCACCAAGAGAGATAAGGGAGAGAGTCAAATATAGTTTAATAATTCTATTCGTTCTTTATCAAATTTCATTCACCTCTCTTGTGTCAAATACCAGTAGCAGGGAAAGAAAAATTACAACCCATGACTTGATATATTTCCAGTCACCAGAAAACCATAAGCCTGAGTGCCTCTGAATATGATGAATATAATTGCACCAAACTAATTCATTTGCTTCAACTCTCTGTGAATTTACTTTGTCTAATCAATCATTTCTAAATGTAGCTTAGGAGGTTAACCTAGCAATCAAATGAACAGTAAAGGTATTGGAAGTTAAGATGGAACCCATATTGGAGAAAGTGTCAAAGTCTATTCCTGTTCTATTAAAACTCTTCCACATGAAAGTGTATGAGTTAAGAATTTGTGATTAAATGTTGCGTAGTCCTATCATGCAAGAAATCCATAAACAGATAGATAGATCATAGACAGAGGAATGTGTAAAAGACTCACCTTTAGAATTTGATGGAGCAACAACCACCACGACCAATTTTACGTTCCTTCCGCGTAATACACCTCTGTTCATTCAGCACACTATCTTAAGCAACTCTTTTAATGAATATACGTCTAAAAACCAGTATATAACGCGTGTTTGATGTGATGGAAAATATTTTTCCCTAACTGATAGAGCAACGGAGCACTGGAAATGATCCAAGTACTACATTTTTTTATGGAAACAATTTAACACGCATTGCGAAAAGTAATTGGAAAAGGACAAAAGAAGCGTACTTGAGATTTTCAAGATTGGTGCAGACCTGAAGCCACTGAGCGGGATCGCCGGAGACGTGATCGGAGTTAAAGAGAGCGGCTACAACTGCCGGAACTCTAGTCCGATGTTTGAGAAGCCAATCTTTCTTTAGGATTCCAGCGACAGGTGGAGGCGGAATAGAAGCGTCCTTTGAAGGCTTAGCGAAAATCGAGATCTTGGAGAAATCAGGCAATGCGAGAGCATTAATAGGCGGCTGCTCGGAGTGAAGGTGAGTTGTGATTGAAGCGTGAAGCTCTGGACATCCTACAAGAGATACTAATGCTACCGGCGGAGTTCGGAGTTCTTCTGGATACTCCTCCATTTCTTTCAATGCTCCGATTCTGATCCCCGGTGAAATTGGAGTTGCTGATAATGGTGAAGAGGTCTGGAAATTGATTTCAGAGCAGAATTTACAGTTAAATTGATGAGATCTTGGGAAGAGATGGGTGAGTTTGGGGACTCGGCTGGGTTTGACTCGCGTTGATTTCAGTTGGGAGTTGGAACTTAGGAATCATGATGGATTCTTGACTTGGGCCGGTCCATATAAAGCGAACCCAGCCCAATGAACTCGAGATCTTTATCATACTCTAAAATTTCCTACAATTTACAAAAATAACTAGTCTCTCCTCTTCTCGAATACATCACTTTACGCTATGTATTCTTCGGATAAATCACTTTACGCGATGTATCGGACATTGAGTGATGTATCCAAAATCAAAACGCGATGTATCGAGATGTTTTGGAATGTATCCGGCGGATTCCACCAAATTTAAGGTATTTTTGCAATTTGAAAATAGTTTGATAGAATGTAATTAACTCTTAACACTATGAGATTTGTGTAAAATTCATAATAAATAAAAGAGCAAACAACTCATAACCCACTGATTTAGAGTTTAATTACGTGCTTTTACTTTACGAGTCAACTTAGGTATAGTTTCTTACAAATACACTATATTAATTCAAACGTGATTTACATTTATTTGAAATACACTAACTATGTCGCTCGTCTTTCTCCTTTATTGCTAACACCAACAATAACTTTTACGAAGTTACGAATTATGAAATTTGAACTTGTAAAGATATTTCCACAAAGTTTTAATATTATACAATAGAGATAAGTGTCAAAAATACATCTAAATTATCTTTTTTTTTGTTTCATAACTAAACTATCACTTATTAGTTTGAGAGGTGTGAATTGCACTCTCTCTTTTATTTGAAAAAACTTTGACACATGATATTCCACATGGATAAAATATTTCACCTTGACAAAAATTAAATAATAAAAATTAAACATTAAAGTATTACTATCCCAAAAAAAAATTAAAAATTTAAATTTAAATTATTTTTCTTACCCCACTCCACCACCTCTGTCCCCCCACCCGGGGTCCTTTTTTCCTTAAAGAAGAAGTTTCTTTTATAAAATAGTCTATTAAAAAATTTATAATTCACCCTTTACCCGCCCCCCCGCGAAATTACTCGCCTCATTCCCCAAAAATAATTGATATTATTTAATTTAAATATAAACTCTACCCCATCCTATTTAATTCTCCGCTCCTAATTTATTTATTTATTTTTACATTTTTCTCATTTTGTGTTAGATATGTACATATATTTTTAGGAATCTTTTTCTTCTTGTGTATCGAATATAACATAAATATCTTGGGGTGGCAGTAAAAAAACTTTTCGATATGTATATATCTAACACAAAACAAAAACAAAAATTAGAAATGGAGGGTTAGATGGAGTGGGTAGAAAAATAAAAAGATATCCAAACTAGTATTTAAAGGGGGTGGGAGAGATGAAATGATAGAGTGGGGTAAAAAAATAATATTTTACTTTTCATTTTATAAAAAATATATTTCTTTTGGATAATATTTTTTAATTTTTAATTTTAACTAATACTAATAAATTATTTAATTTTTGTCAGGGTGAAATGTTTTATTTCTATGGAGTGTGATGTGACAATTTTTTTTAAATAAAAGAGAAAGTGTATTACACACATAAAAGTGTTATAAAAGAGAGATGTGTGTTTCTCAAATTAATAAATGATAATTTAAATATGAAATTCACACTCTCGATAGTTTAGGTATGAAACTCAAAAAATGGAATAGTTTAGATGCATTTTTAACACTTATCTTTATGCAATATAAATAATAATAAAGTTTTAAAGTAGTTACCCATAGAGTGGAATGAAGTTTAAATATATAAGTTTTGAGACAAGTTTCATGAGTGATAGATACGTGAAATAATGAAAAGATGATTTGACCCACGACGTCTTTTTTTTTCCAACTCCACAATCATGTTATGAAAGTTAAAATTTCATAATTGTGTCCTGGGGTGCAAACAAGCCTCCCGCTATAATAAACATTACAATAGGGAATTTTGCTTTTCAAATTGTATCAAAATTCTAGCATAATAAACTGTAGAACACAAAGGGAATTTTGTTTCCTTTGTGAACCAATATCAGATTCTGAACTCCAGCTCAATATGATGAGATATTTCACTTGTAGGGTAGTGGAATGTTGGAAATTCACTTGTCAGAGCTTCAAACTCCAACAAATTATATTAGAATTATTCCGTGTTCAGATCAAGAGTACTTTTTTTTAATAGGTACGTTTATTTGCGTTAAAAAGTGGCTAAACATTGAACATCTCTGCAGTAGTGGCCAAAGTATCTTTAGTTGATTAGGTGCTGCAGCTGCATTTACTAACAAGTAAGTAATTCTGCTACTAACGTTGAGACTTGAGAATGTAATTGTTCTCTTCCAACAATGAAAACAATTTGGTGGACATGAAAAACAAGCTTATAAAAAAGGCTATCTAGGATAAATAGGCATCCACGGATATTGTGAAAACCTGACCAAGAAGACGAGACACTATTACTAGCTATTTATTGCACACAACGACAATAACAGGTACCAGACTGAAGGATCAAGAGTATGCAACTACATTGAGTAGCATTCACATTCTCGAAGCAAAACCTGTGCACATGGCCTCATATAATCACAAGATCTCTGCACCAGAGGTTTTCTCCAGCCCTTCAAAGTAGCCCTGCTTTCCTTTCCTTTCCTTTCGTCCTCCTTTACTTTCTCGTTCTAATAAGGGAGAGGATAAGGTGAGAGACTTGGTTCCTAAACAAACACACTGGAACATATATTGAAAAAACATAAAAGAGACAAATGAAAAAAGGTCCCTAGAAAATAGCAGTTCATAGATGGAGATGAAGACCTGGATATTGATCCCCTATCCCTAAGGAGATCAAAACATCGAAAAGAAAAAACAAATAAAAGACGCACACGTCAAATGGACATTAAAGAGAAGTGTACACCTACAGACCAGGATGACCCAGGCCTATTTAAAGAATCATATGTTGATTCTACTAAATCTGATTGTGGAAACCATCTTCCACAATCAGTTCAATTATATACTTTAATGAATGAGTGACTTGAAGTCCTGGCAAGATTGTCCATACAGACTGCAAAAGAGCAGTCCAGGCACTTCCTCATTTCTGATATGGTTATCTGAACTTCTTGGTATCTTACAAGTGATTCCCTCGAGTTCTTGGTGGTCGTGACTTTGGAAGACCTGAAACACAAATGCAAATAAACCTTAACAATGACTTTGGCGGTTAAACCATGCAGTGTGTATATATAGTTTAGAATAAGCAGTCATTTGAGAGACCACTAATGAAAATCCATCCAACAGAGAATCAGTACCTCTGTTTGCCTCCCCATCTGACGTTCAAGGTCATGTTCCTAGTCTTACCACACAAATAACAGCGAGCCAATTCCTTGAATTCATCCTGCGATTGAATCAACATCAGAAAAACATAAATAAGCATGTGTAAACTTTCAAGGTAAATCCACATCAAAGCAAGATATAATGAAAATTCATGCTTTCCTTACCATGATACATCCAGTTAAACCATTCAACCTGCCATTTGGTCAGAGCCACTGCTCTGAGTGAATTGTGGTGGACGAGCTTGTACTGCATTCTGCGGCTGACGAGGAGATGGCATGGTGATGCCTGAAGAAATGGGGTAATCAAGCACCTTCACTACAAAAAGATAACAACTTAAAACTTTTTTTTTTTTTGAAACTGGTAAATGTAGATAACTTCAACTTTTTTACTTTGACACAACCACATAATAGACTAATAGAGATCATAATGATAAAAACAGACCACATTTGGGACAGAAAAGCTTGTTGCCTTGTGCCATACATTTTGGAAACGTCATCGTTCAAATTGAAACACTCTAGTTGTTCAGATCAATATATAAGTATATTTGCTCCCTTAAACAAAGGCTGAATTCATCTCTCAACACACATAGTTAGACCCTTCAACTGGGTGAATCGGTGCTAAAATGAACATTATTTTGGTTTTGGGGTTGGAAAAAACATGTTTGCATATACAAACATCAAATGAAGAAACAGACGCCAAAGAGACACTTTCTGATTGCACACAGACACAGGGAGTAACTCCTACAAAAGTGGTACCTGAATGATATGGTAGTTGCATCAGAGGAACATTGTCTGTCGTAGTTCCGCTAGCATTAGGTCTCTGATATTGCACCATCTGAGGACCTGTCATCAAATGACCGCGAAACGCATATGCAGGACTGCCAGGCGGCGCACCAAGTTGGCCAAATTGTAATGTGTTTGTGCCAACAGTACTTGGTATCCCATACATCTGAATGAAATGCAAAGGCAAAAAATATAGCCGTTGATGGAAAATGATGCATAAAATATTCACATCCGTGAATAGGGGAATGGTGCACAAAATATTCACATCCGTGAATAGGGGAATGGTGCACAAAATCATGTCCACTAGCCCTTACTCAAATTAAGCAATACCAATCCTTGTAAGAAAGAAAAGAATGAAGAGAAGAAAGTATGCTACTTAACATCCAACTATGCAAAGTAGAAGTACCTGTGGGTAAACATAGTCTGGCCCATATGCAGGAAACCTAGCAATACGACATTCAATAATGAAAGAAAATTAGGTATAATCAATGAGAACAGTAACATATTTCAGATAGTACTAACTTATTCATGAGCATTTCTTAAATATATCTGATACCACAAATTCTAATCAAATCCAAAGAACCACAGGAACATCAATCAACAAATATATAGATGTTGACACATGTATCAACAAAAGACATTGTCACAGGAAAAGCATGTCTTATTATTTATTTATTTTTAGGAAAAGATTTGTTTTATTGCCTTCACAACTTCAATTTTTGTTTGGGGGGAGCATGCTTGTTAAAGAGAAAGATCCATCTCTCCCCTTCTTATGTCATGAAATTAAATTGCAATACATGACAGTTAAGGTGATAAAGATGATGATGCAAGATTACAGTGCTAATTCACAAGTCTATAAAGTTGCAGGGTAATTTTGAGATAAAGTAACTGTTAAGTAACTCGAAGAGGACAAATATATACTGTGTTAACTGTATATATATCTTTGGCCTACTAAATTTGCTTGGTATATCAGCACAGCAGGGTTTGATACTCTGCTTGGGTAGTCATTACTGACCTATATGGAGGATATGAGAATCCAGACTGATAGCTGTAAGGAACTGGTAACTGGTAATAGGGGCTCCCCATATACATACCCCTCGGGGCCTGTGGATTTCCCAGATAAGTCATTGAAGATCTCAAACGTCCTACAAGAACAAAAAATTGAAGGGATGAGAAAGATAATTAGTAATTGTCAAATGTAGATGGTGCACCAAATATGCTAACTGTATCACTCCAAATTTTGGTTTATTGTTAGCACTACCGTTGTTATATATCTTTATTTGGGTTATTATTAGCACTACATCGTTACATTAGTATCCTATCTGCAAGCTAGTAGACCAGCTCAGCCACACCAAAGGAAAAGGACATATCTTGAAACAAGGTTTATACAAGCTATCAACAATTAATGTTATTGCTGGCTCTCCTATCTCTCTCTGTAAAATCAGGTTTAACTTCAGTCTTCCCTATCTATGCACCTTCCCTTAATACCTTTGTTTAGTAATGTGGGAGAAGAGAAATAAAGATAGCATCACAAAGATCAACTGACAGATTTTTCCCAGCTATCCCCCACGAATGCCTAAGCTTAAGGTGCAAAAAAGGGAGGAAAAGAAGAGGAGAAACAACAACTAGTTAGCAAAATGATACATTATGAAAGAGAATATAATGCATTACCATAAGGTAAAAGTCCTTGAGGTCTCCCAAGTGAAGCCAAGTTGCAATTAGCCCTTCTACCATCAATGATTGGATTAGGATTGGTGCAAGCCCTCCATGCAGCTTCAGGATCATGGAATGTAACCTAATTTCCACAGTAAACTAATCAGCATAATATCAAATCATGATCAGAAAAATTGGATTTTGAACATTATCAAGCATGTATACTGTCACCATAAAAAAAGGCAAGCACTCCAGTTGAGAAGTGGACACAGAATTAAGAATGTTTTTTTTTTAAGGACCGTGGTGTTCAGGCCAACTTTTGCATACCTCAACTAATTCCACTGAAACTAGGTAACTCTGTCCATGAGGACTAATTGAGAATGTATTTTTGAAACTGTAATTTTCTTTTAAAACAGATATTATTCTTCTTAATTAATAATCAAGATAGTATTACTAAATTATTACCCAACTAACACACTACAAAGAAGGGGGGGCCTAGAGTGTCATGCTATGCATGATTTCTGCCATGTAGCTAAAGACAATTATTGCCAGATACCATGCACATAAGTCTTTGCCTGATAAAATTCAACATGGCCAGCTCATCAACCACAAAAATAGCACAAGAAAACACCCCCCTAAACTGTCAATTTACAGTCTTTCAGTCTTCAAACAACAGTGTTTAATTTGCCTCAAAATTGTTTGATTTCTCAAACGACACAGAGAACAAATCTTTCAACTACAACACTACAACTGAAAAGTGATCCGAGTAAAAAAAAAAAGCATAACCCAAAAGAAACTGCTCATAATTATTAAAGAAGAAAAAAACTCACAAAGCCATAGCCTTTAGAGCGTCCAGTATGTTTATCAGTAATAACAACCGCTTCAATAATATCCCCAAACTGTTCAAAATAACTGCGGAGTGATTCACTCTTAGTCTCCCAAGCCAACCCACCAACAAAAACCTTCGTATACGTCGTATCCCCAACCCCATATGGGCCCCGACCCGCAAACGGCGAACCCGATCCCCCACCACTACTACTCCCACCTGGACTCATCTGATACGCCATGAACAACAAAACAAGATTTACCCAAACCCCAAATCACCCAATAGAAGAAAAAGATGAAATCTTTATATGGGATCAAGAAAAAAAAAATCTTGAATTGTAAGAAAACAGAGAGGTGGAGTGAGGTGGCAGTACAGGGTAAAAACCTCTGAAATTGCAAAGGAGGAAGAAGAGAAAGAGAAAGAGAAAGAGAGAGAGAGAGAGGGAAAACGTGTGGGGCCAAAAGGGGAAGAGGAGTACGCGTTTTTGTAAAAGACAGATGGATGATGATGAAGAAAGAAGAAAGGAGGGGTATTTTAGGTATTTTAAAAGGTGTCTGCGGAATCTTCCCAACAATTTAATCCTATTTTATATATTTGGAGAATACGTTAAATTCGTTCCTATCCTTTCATGTAATGTAATAATGCTAATATATTTTATTTTTTCCTGTTATAGAGAAAAATAATTCTCTCACGCAAACTATTTTTGGGAAACTACTAGTACTACATTTTTGTTTCCCACAATTATTTTATTTTCATGGGTAGAACCATGGTTAGAAAATATAAAATTAGTTACGCCGTTCATTTTTACGTGTTAATTTATTCTATTTTTACTTGTTGTTTTTATTTATTTAAATTTATATCCTTAATTTATTTACATTGAGCTAATATCTTTGAAAAATATAGTGAGTAATACATTTGGAACTCTATCAATTAATATTGTAAAATAGTAAACTTAATATACTAAATTATTTGTTTTTTTAATAGATATGTCAAGTCAAAATTTAACAACTAAATCCGAACAAAAAAGTACTCCCTTCGTCCAATAATAATTGTGCACTTTATAAAATCAATGCATAATTTTACTCCTAGTTCCTAATTTACTCTTGTCATTAATTATAGTTATTTTTCTATCACATTCTTTAAGACATTATATTTGTTATATTCAAAGTGTAATATATTAGTAAATTACTCTTCTATTTATAATTTCTTAAGAAGTATGCAAAATCAATAATGGACAAGTATTGTTAGACAGATAGAGTAAAAAAATTGTTCAAAAGATTTTAAGTAATTTATCATTAAGTAAATTTTAGTTAATTGAATTAACTTTTAAAAATTTATCATTAATTCATAATTAAATAAAACTAATATAAATTTGTTATTTAACTATAAAATTTTATCCCTTATTAATTTTTTTATTTTTATTTTTAGCAGTGGACATATAAACAACTATGTCATCAATCACAAACAAGTTGGATTGAATATGAAAATCAATCATAAGCAAGCTGGACATTTAATTAGTCTGCTTTTTATCTCACAAAATGAATTAAAAAATTCATGGACCAAATGATATAAGAATGGGTCCATTTTTTTTGTGAACATAATACTCCCCGATTCCTATTTATTTGTTTATTTTTTATTTAATACACTTTTTAAAAAATTAAAATTGACATAATATGTTTATTATATTATTCCTATTAATTGATAGAATTTTAAAATTAATTTACTCATTAAAGAGGTTCTATCTTTTTAAAAAATATTAACTCTCTAAATAAATGGATGGTGTAATATATATATTTGTTAAAAATGACAAGTAAAAAAACAAAACAAAAAAATTTAATTGGATAAGTAAAAAGGAACGGGATAAGTAGCACAATTAGTACTAATTGTACTAATTGCGTAAGAAATACAACACTCGTTTTTTATATATGTATGTAAGTTGAACTTTAATTAATTAGCAGCATATAATAGTGTCAGTCTTATAAATATTTTATGAAACTTATCTTATGCTTTAGTAGGGAGTCCCATTGTCTTTTTATCACCTTCATAGTATTTCTTCGTTTCAACCATTCAAAAATTTAATTTTATAAGTAATACTTTAATTTATTAGTTTTTTCAAATTAAAAAATCTATACTTAACAAAGTTATTTGTATTTAAATAAAAATTTACATTATTTGTACGAATAGTATAACAAAATATTATATTTGTAACATCGTTAGAAATAATGTTATATAGTGATTTCCCTTTTTCGCTTGTAAATTGTAATTATCTCTTGTAGTCGATAGCATAAATAATATATATTTATGATGCCTCTGAACTTTGCTAAACGACCAAAATATATCATCCATTAATAGTCGGGATCAAATTTTACCTCACCAAATTAGATTAAATTTGTCTGGTTGGCTAATGACAATTTTTTCTACACGTGAATCTTATTTTATGTGTATGTATATATATATATGAGGCAATAAATTTAAATCTTTGCAACAAAATAGCTAATAAATCAACATCATCCATTTTTACATGGTGTCACTTAAATAAAAATATTTTTTAGCGGTAATAAACACATTAATAAAGAATAATAAATTTTTAGTTAATTGTCATTAGATACAATGGCGTTATAAATTTAGGACAATCACAAATAGTGGTATGTAATTGCTATTAAAAAAATATTTAGCAACAATAGAACTATGATTATTAATTAATTTAACGGTAGTTTTGTTGCATGTCATGATCACGGAGCAACCAATGGGAAATGTTTAAACAAATTAGTTGTCTTTTTTCTTTTGTGGTTGTTCCTCTTGATAATATACTTTTTGACCTTCTATTTTGATTTATTCGAATTGTTTGAGGAACTCAATTATAACCGTGAATTTTTTCCAACTTAAAAACAGCATAGGGTCCCTCTAAATTGATTACTAAAGTAATTGAACGTTTGAAGTATTACCAAAGAAATGATTGCACAAGCATTCATGATTTAATTCACTATGAGTTGTCAATTAACGTTGATGAAATTATTAGGTTAATGATATCATAGAAATTATAATAGTTTAGAACGATAAATATGATACAATGGGTAAGAGAAAATATTCAAATTTACTCCTAATAATTATATATTTTTTTATATTTGTCATTTCTTTACCTATTTATTGATGGAAATTTTCACTGTTTTTATTTTATTTCAAATACATCTCTTCAAATGACGATTTTTTCATCTTACAAAATTTGACTTGACTTCTATATCAGATTGAGTATTTTTTTATTGTTCAAGAATATATATGAATCACGTTAACCTAACCTTTTCACTTTTCACTTTTGACAATAGTAGCTCATATATATAGTCGTATATATTGGGAAAATCTAAGAAATATTGTAGTCAACGGATAACATTATATGATTAAATTAAAAGTCAGACATTATGCAGCAGATTTCGTGGACTAACAGGTGAACATGAAACTAATTTTACTCCGAATAAGTTCAAATAAATAATACAATTATACAAACTTTGTTTCCCCTTTTAGTGAAATTAGTTTTCCTATATGTGTTCAAATAAATAATACAAACTTTACTTCCCCTTTCTGTGAAATTAATTTCTCGATACATGTGTTATATGTATATATCAAATTTTATATATATACATTAAAGTATTTAAGATCAATTAACACTTGAGCCAAAATGTTCTTTCACAATATAAAGAATAATTAAAATAATTTGTAAAACTCTCTCGCAAGAGTCCCCGGCATAGAAATTTGAACAATACAAATGTACCTCAAATTTCGTTGAACTTTGAACTATTCAACGATTACAAATTATACTTGAGTTTTTTTAGGAAGAAGAAAAATAGAAAATTAATAGTTTAAAAATGAAAGGAAATTTCTCAATTTATATGAAACAAATGGAAGTATGAAGTCTATGAACAAATATTTGTTAAGACTTATGCGAGAAATCACAATCATTCAAAACAGTCATAATTGAAAAAGTCACAACTCTTTAAAAAAAGACACATCTCATTAGAAGATATTCCCTCCGTCCACTTTTAATTATCATATTGTGTTTTTCGAAAGTCAATTTGACTAATTTTTAAAGTTAAATTAGATTATATTAATTCGATATTTAAAAAAAGAAATATTCAAAAACTATACGAAAAGTCCTATAAATTGCAATTTTTTCCTTATCAATATGATGAAAAAATACATCATAAAATGTTAATTAAAATTTTTATAGTTTAACTCGGGAAAAAAAAAAACTATGATAATTAAAAATGGATAAAGAGAGAATTAAATATTGATATGTGGTCCTTTGTCAAAGTTGAGTGGATTTGATAATTTGCAGAATAGAAAAGAGACAAATAAGGTTGCTTTGTTGCATGTAAAGAAGAAGAACAAGTGTTGTTGTTGTTACCTTAAGGCTTAACACAAAATAAATTAATATTTGATGGATAAGAATAAGTAGGAGGAAGTTGCCGATTTGGCAGAAAAGGACGGCCCTTCACCGCAACTCCCCACAAATCAATGTAAGTTTCCTCCTCCTACTTTTTCTACATACATTTGTACCCGCGGCGGAGTCAGAAATTTGATGAGAGATGTTAAAAAAAAATAAATTAATTACTACCAAACACTGACACACACATTGAAAAAAATAATCAAAAATCATCTTCATCCTTTACTGTCAATTTCCTCAACCCTGTCGCTTTCTAAGCAATTCTTAGCTCCTAAGATACTACTATACATATTTCTAAACTTGCAAGTGGATTTATAAAATGGGAATTCAACCTCCCTAAACAGATGAAATTTCAGATAGTCAAACAATTAAGTTATTAAGATTTTTCATGCTAAAATTAAGTAATAAATATTTATATGTTATGAGGAAATATAATGATAAAAATGAAATTGATTTTGAGATGCGACCTTATATATAAATTGAAAAAAAAAATACAAGTAACTCTCTTCGAAATACAACAAAATCAACATTTACACTTGTATATAGGTCAAAGGTTAACAGATACATAAAATACAATTTGTTTTAAAAAGAACAAAAAGAAGAAGAACGTCGGAGATCAATATTTATACTACTTTTTGTTATAGGTTAAATAAGGTTACCTAACATGTTAATAAGAACTGGTTGACTAACACTTATAATATAAAAAAAAAACATGCAATATTTTTTACATCATTACTAGATAAGATTTAATTAAGTTCTTAATTAATATAGAGTATATAAAGAGTAAATTTTAGGCTTAGCAAACATAAAAATCATATTTGTATACTATATCTATAGTTTGTATAATTGCGCTCCATAGCAAACTTTATGTTTGTTATGGCTATTAATCTATATATTTCGGTACATATACATAAAAAAATATGTATTTTGGTCTATTTGTATAGTTCGGTATATAAATGGGTCCTGCATTTGTATATTTCGGTATACAAATGGGATGAAAAAAAAATGGAATGTTTGCTGCGAATTAAAAATAAAAGAAACTATGGCTATATCATTTAATTTGAATTAATAGTTT